CCCTAACAAGAGTAAAAGCAGTTTAAACTGCAAGAAGCATTTTTTAATTATTTTTTTTTTTTAGCTTATGCTATGTGAATGGGAACATGTAACAAATATAAAATAGGTGTTATTCCACTGGGGCATGACAGAGAGAGGAATGAGACACTGGATAGGTGCAAGCAGAAGTGATGCTAGAGGCTGTGGATGCAGCGATGGTGTGGATACAGCGAAGACTGCGGATGTATAGATGGTGCAGCAGAGGCTCAGACTGTGGATAAAGCGAAGACTGTGGGTGTTGGAGAGGCTGCAGGAGCAACTGAGGTGCAACAGAGGCTGCAGGTGCAGCAAAGACTGTGGATGCCATAGAGGAGCAACGGAGGTGCAACTGAGACTGTGGATGCCAAAGAGGGGCAGCAAATGGAGGCTGCCGATACCGCAGAGCTTGACTGCAGGTGTATAGGTCACTAGGACTGAAATGCTATAAATTGGCTTCAGTAGCTTAGGAGAAAAAAAGTCTGATTCTATGATTGCGTGCACACTTTATGTCCTGCTGAAGTTTAAATGGCCAATTGAGCTGCATAGTATGCAGAAAGTGCCAATGCTGGATTGTCTGAGATAAGTAACTCTGACATTAACCTCCTCCTTTTTATGGGGTTCCCACCCATCAGGGACCTAATTTCAGAGGGAAGTGGCAATTAAATGTGCATACGAGCTGAGTAGCAAAAACATCTAATGCCAAAGTCTAGAAGCGTCTCTCTGGAGATCTTGGAATCTAAGATTTGCTAGGCCTTGTATTCCAGAGAGTTAGCTGCTCGAGCAGAACAACTGGAGTAGGGCAAGAGAATCATGTTAAGAACCACCGGCCTAAGAAGAGAGGCATGAAAGGAGTGGGGTATGTGGAGATGTGGAGGAAGACGCAGCTCGAAAGACACAGGATTGATCTTGGCCATGATTTTAACAGGACCAATATAATGTGGAGCAAACTTAGCAGAGGGATCACCAGACTTTTATCTCCAGGCTGGCAGTCAGCAAATCTTTCGTACTTGAAGGTGGAATTAAGCATGTGCTTTTGTGCCGGGGACCAAATTGCATTGAAAGAGATCTGCATTGTGGTTAGAGCAGGCACCTTTGCAACCGGTGGGATAGGAGCCGGGTGGGATACCTGCATACCATGCGGAGTTAAGGCCGAGGCAGGGTTGGGGTTAGGTGGGGCAACTGGTGGCGAGTAACTCTTAAGGCCTGTCTAGTCGTTTAGGACTTTAAATTTTGAGCCCTGCCATAGAATACACAAAAATAATGATCTCCTGAAGCTAGAATTAATGAGGTTATTATTGTCAACATTGACAAGGATTCCTCACTGGTGGCTTCAACCTCCTTTAGATGCAGTTGGACAAGGAGCAGAGTATAAGCGCCAGTGATGTATAGGGGCTTTCTTAGAACTGGACATCAATTTGAATGGAGAGGGAAATCATCCAGGGAGGAGGGTAATTCTCAACCTTAACACAATTAGTTAGTCCTTGCCAAAATGTGGCCATTAGGGCCTCATTGTTACAGGCCAGTTGGGCTGCCAGTGTCTGAAAATCTGTTGCATCCTGGAGGGCACAAGCAGAAGAGGAGGAGGCATGTCTATGTTTCTTGAACATATGGTGAAAGGTGACTTGGAACGTGGGTTACTCTATAGATACTAGCAGACACGGAGGTTGGTAGGGGCTAGGTAACTAGGTACTTAACCATCTGACAGGCACGAGGCACTAGGTAGCTGGAAGAAGCAGTGAGGCTAGAGGCCCCCGAGTGCAGAGATAGCTTACCAGAGGTTTAGACTGTGGATGCAGTGGTGACTGTGGGTAAAACCCAAAAGTGCATGTGGCTGCACGGTATGGAGAAAGTGTTGGCTCATGGGGAGGTAACTGTGACACATCCATTAAGATTTTTGTTGAATTATTGATTGAAAAAGCAATTTTCTTGTGTTTTTATTCAGTTATGTCACCTTTATCTGTAGAAACTGTTTGAATGAAGATCTAATGTATGCCTGTTGAAATAACTTAAAGTCAATTTCTATGGGGTATACCTACTTTTTCACATGACTGTAGCAGATGAATTAATATAAATTGTTTTTAAATAGATGGAATTTTAGAGGAGGGAGGAAATAAACTGGGAAGATAATTGAGGTATGGAGGAGGTGGCTGTCCGAGGAATGAGGGAAGTTAGAAGGATATTCTTTTTGCAGATGTTTTATGTACTGTACATACTGGATACAAAACAAGCGTTCTCTTTCATTGTATAACTTTTTACTAGCTGTGGTATTATTTCCAGTTAAACAATCAATCTGTCCAAATTCTGTGGACTAAAAAAACTTAGAAACATCACCATATATAACATTTTCAACATTATTTCTACATATTAAAACATCAGTCCATAAAAGCAAAAAATACAAGAAAATGTATGCTCCATGTGTATAACATATAAATATTTTGTATTCTTATTTTTAGACAGCATGCGGAACTATAGTCTGTTAATGTTTAGTTGTGTATCCGCTAAGCTTTTGAAATGGTCAGACAAAGACCCCCCTTCTCACTCTTCTTCCATACTGCTCAGTCTCGGGTTTCAAACTACCGCTGTTCTGTCTTGTTAGAAACTTCATAAATAATTATATAAATAGTAAAAATTATATAAAAAGAAAGCAATAAAAGCTGGCATAGCAGCTTTTGCAATAACAGTAGCAGTGAGCAGGGGCATTGTAGGTATGGTGAAAGACCCGAGGCACCCATGGGCACCTTGAGTGGAATGATGATGCAGAGCATACTGTGGGGAATAGTGGGTGTGGCTAAATTGCAGTAACAGTGGAAGGGGTATGGTTAAATAAAGACTGAGCCTACTCTACTCTGGGTCAGGAGCAAGTAGCGCAGTGAGTGCAGGGGTCAGGAGCAAGTTACGCACAGAGTGCACGGATCAGTAGTATGTAACGCACAGAGTGCAGGGTCAGTAGTATGTAAAGCACAGAGTGTAGAGGTGAGGAGTAAGTAACACAGAGGGCAATAATTCTGAATTTCTAACATTTCTCTTTGTGCAATTCACCACATGAGACACAGCTTAGTGTTAGTTTAATGACATACAGCTTGACACAACTTCATCCGCATTAGAGTCACCTGCATGTACCCTATCATGGGGCCCATAAAAAACAGTCATGAGAAGAGCCCACATTATTGATGGCTTTAACCTCCCTGGCGGTCTGATTATGCAGTATTTTTGAATGCCAAAACGGTACATTGTTTTTCATGGAAATGTGTTGTTTTATATTGTAGGCCTGTAATTCTTAGGAATAACTCACTTAAATCTGTCCAAACAAGAGTCTAGTAGACATCCCGGATATGATAAAGTTTGAAACACGAAATTAAAAAAATTATAATATAATAAATAATTATAAGAAATGATAATATAATAATTATAAACAATTATATAATTAAAAAAATGGTCCAGTAAATGGGAATTCTGAGGGGCGCTGCCTGATCCGTACCACAGTCAATAGAGTACAATAAAAGTGCAGGCAGGGCACTGGACAAAGCTCTAGGGACAAAATTGAAGTGAAATGGTTTGATACAGAAATGTAATCATAAAAGATTACATTGTATTGTGTGTATTCTGTGTATATTGCATGTTTTCACTTTTGAATTTCCCGCCGGCTCCGCCCCCCGCTGTGATGCCAAACACTAAACTAAAAGTCTGATGCCGGCATCGGCTGGCCGCGTACAGCAGAGGACACCGCGGGCTTGTATGGACAAGGTAAGTGACACTTTTGTGTAATCCTGAGTGTGGCTCTGGGTTACTGCTATTGGCACTGAAAATTAACCCCGAGCCACACTTGGGAATACCGCCAGGGAGGTTAAAGAGAACCCTGATCAAGATGACTATATCAGGGTGATACCAATCCGCCCAGAGGTGTCCAAGACTGAGGACTTGGTCCTACTATGCAAGCCAAGCCACACATACCTCACACAAGGGCTCTGGGAGGCAAAAGGGGCCGGGCACCGTGATCATCGCTTGTATGTGATATAATAGGTATGTCTCAAATGCCGCCTGCTTCTGGGCCTGCTTGCCATCCCACCTGTCAGATTTATTGTACAGAGCCGAGGGAATCACTCTGAAACTCAGCTCTGTGCAACAGGTCTGGCAGTTGGGTCATCAGACGGGGACAGAAGTCAGCAGCTTAATTAGAGACATATTAAGGAACAAAATGTCAACCATCAATGTGTCGGGACCCAGGGCATTTAGCAGCAGATGTGGGGCATGTGCACTGGGAACCTAGTGCTAGGGACACCCCTGGCAGTGACTTAAATTAGAACTTAATTAAAATGGATCCATAATATGCAGATGTGCACAACATATTTGCCCATTATGGTAGACTTACATCTCACAGTGGCCTCCTCCATTGATGGAAAGGCCATACTCCCCCTTGTTGCTTCATTGCTGAAGTCTTTTGGTCTTCTTCCGAGTCCAGACTCTGTCCTGAAACCTATGGCATGCCAAGGTTGTACACTGAGCTGTGCATGTGTGATTGAATTTACAATTAGGAAAAAAGTTCTAGCATTCAGGGAGTAAGCATTTATGGCAGAATAGGCAGAGTGTAAGCATTGAAAAAATAGTTCTGCTTTAATCAATTATTATAATAATATAATTGATTAGAAATTACATAGTATTTGAGGTTGAATAAAGACATATGTCCATCAAGTCCAACCTATTGTGTGTGTATGGGTCCCTGTGTCATCTCGTTATTAGGAGTACCTGTACCCCTGTATATTACCGTTTCTCCGGAAATCGTCCAAAAGCTTCTTGAACGATTCCACACTATTAGCTGAAATCACTGCTTGTGGCAGTGAGTTCCAGACCCTAACCGCGCGAACTGAGAAGAACCCCCTTCGCCCCTTGTGTTTGAATTTTTTTTCTACCAGTTCTACCAGAAATATAACATTTACATTTGTTTTATTGTCTTGAATTGAAAGATTGTTTTTTGTTTTATACAGGATTCAATTGACTTGTTTCTTGGAAATTACACTGTTGAAGAAACCTATTCTTCTAGTCCTTTACAAGTGCAGAAAGATTGGAAATTCTTGGCAGTAAGTAAAAGCCACTACATTTTGCAGACCATATTCTACATTTTGTAGACCCAATTCTGTCTTTCTCTTGTCAAGCTTGCTCTTTATGTTTTTATCAAAGGCAATGTTTACTCTTACTTTAAAACAAGCTTCCACTAAAACTTGCAGTGGTAATTTAATTCAATCACAGGTAGATAGGTGTTTTAAAAATAAATTACAGGTACAAGAGGCTAGTAATAATTGTGCTAGTTGGATGGGAGGGTCTTCTTACATCTGACCACCAACGGATGTATCTAGATCCCTTAAGAATTTAGGGTTTAAAACCCATTCCTACTGTGTTGATGAGCTTTTTTGTTATTCTTACGAAGTCATTGAAGATTTCCTTTTTTGCATCTTGTATCCTCATAGGAATGAAATGTTCATCAATAAATGTTTCTTCTAACCTTAAAAGTATTTAAAGTGGAACTCCAGTCAAAATTTTTTCTAGTGTTAGATACATTAGGAAAGAGGTTAAACCTAATTTTTAACTGCAGGTGTTGCTCCCACTAGGGCAGCGGTTCTCAACCTGTGGGTCACGACCCCGTCGGGGGTCGAATGACGATTTGCCCGGGAGTCTCCCACTATTAGATAGCGGCTCCCGGCAGCCCGGGAGAGAAACACTTTCGAGCAGAGTAAACCTTTCCCTGCAATCGTTATTTTATTTTTTTTTCCCTGACATCGGGGGCCGCCTATCTATTGCACCCGCCCTCTGCTGCTGCCAATCAGCAGAGGGGGGCCTGCAGTTCTCCATCAGGTCCTCTTCTAGTGATTGACAGCAGCAGAGGGCGGGTGCAATAGCTTGTTTGCTATTGGCTATTGCAAAGTGAAATAGCCAATAGGAATCTAGCTATTCATTCCTATGGTGGTTTTTTTTTTTATTCTGACGGCATACGCCAGTGGTTCTCAACCTGTGGGTCGCTGTGTGATTTCTGCTGTGCTAGGTGAGAGTCCTCCTCAGCCCTCTCCTAGCGCAGCAGTGTCAGTTCTCCCACCACACCGCCAGATGTCGCTGCAGCAGCCGCGTCATCCCTAAATTTTACCGTTGGGGGTCACCACAACTTGGCAAATGTTACCAAGGGGTCCCGGCCCTAGAAAGGTTGAGAACCACTGCACTAGGGGGACAAAAAGGGAAGTAAAAATACATTTCTACAAAGTGAGGTGGGAATTCCACTTTTGACAGTTGTCACACTGCAATAAGTGCCCCCCACTGTGAGATTTCTCAGCAATAAAAACATAGCAGTATATTGTAGAGAAACAATCGTAATGCAACAACTATGATGTAAACGCCTCTCCTAGCTCTGGCAGAATCTACCCTTCTATGGGCAGAAGCATCCTCCTATCTCTGTCGGCGATTTACTTAAAAGGGACCTTAAACTCTCTAGCCGACTTCCTCAGCAGGAAGCGACTCCTTCCTTCCGAATGGTCCCTAAACAAGCACATTTTCCGGTTACTATCGGGAAGATGGGGTACTCCGACGGTGGACCTATTTGCCACCAGGGAAAACCGGAAGGTAGATGTTTTCTTCTCCCTGTGTCCGGGGGATGGGGCTCTAGGGGTGGACACCTTTGCTCACACCTGGACGTTTCCTCTGGCATACGCTTTTCCTCCCGTCAGGCTGATAACCAAAGTCTTGCTGAAAGTGGCACGGGAGCAAATGACCATCCTCATTGCACCCTGGTGGCCGAAGAGACCTTGGTTTGCGACTCTCCAGAATCTCAGCGTCAGTCCTCCGTGGATTCTTACGCTGGTGCCAGACTTATTGGCCCAGGGCCCAGCACGCCATCCACATCTAGAAACCCACCGCTTGGTTTCTGAAAGGGAAATCCTGCTAACCAAGGGGCTCTCTGAGAAGGTTGTGTCTTCTCTTCTCACCAGTAGAAAAGCTACCACTACCGCAATCTACAATAAGGTTTGGAAGACTTATTCCTCCTGGGTCCAGCTTAATGACATGATGGGGAACCCAGTTCCCATAGCGGTCTTAGAGTTTCTGCAAAAGGGTGCAGACATGAACTTATCCTGCAGTACACTCAAGGTACAAATTTCCGCCCTGTCCATCTACTTGGAGACCAGACTGGCGGAAGAACCGTTAATTCGGAGATTCCTATTGGCCACTGCCAGAAGTAGGCCTCCAGCTGTGAGGAGCTTCCCAACTTGGGACCTGTGTAGTCTTCCGCGGGTTTCTAAAACCTCCCTTTGAGCCTATCAATTCTTGTTCACTTCACCTTCTTACTGTCAAGGCAGCACTGCTAATAGCCATTGTGTCGGCCAGAAGAGTGAGCGAAATCCATGCATTGTCCATAGCAAAGCCTTACTGCACGATACATGATGACAGGATCGTCCTTAAACCCGACCCGGGGTTCTTACCGAAAGTGGCCTCCACTTTTCACCGCACTCAGGAAGTGGTTATTCCTTCCTTCTACCCTAACCCAGTTACAGAGGAAGAAGAGAGACTGCGGGGCATCGACGTCGGGAGATGTGTTCTGGAGTATCTGGATAGAACCAGCCAAATCTGATAATCTATTCGTCCTCTTTTCAGGGCCTGAACAGGGCCTACGGGCATCCAAGAGCACAGTTGCGAGATGGATCAAACTGGCTATATCGGAGGCCTATAGACAGCAGGGATTGATTCCGCCACAGAATGTGACTGCACATTCCACCAGGGCTTGGGCTTCTTCTATGGCTGAACGGGCAGGGGCTCCCCCAGATCAAATCTGCAGGGCAGCTACCTGGACCAGTTTCCAAACCTTTGTCAGGCACTACCGTGTGGACGTGTTTGCCAAGGAGGGCCAGGATTTTGGTAGAAAGGTCCTGCAAGCAGTTAGACCACCCTAAAACCATGTGAGTATGGGTTCTTGCCTACTCTCTCAGATGCTGTCCTGGAAGATTACTTGGGAAAAACTGAGTACGGTACCTGGTACCTCGGTTTCCAGGACAGCATGGAAGATTTTTGGTCTTCAGTTTTTGTGCGTGCGTGCGAGCGAGTACGCATGCGCGTATACACATGGATAGTTTAGAATTATGTCTTATCTATAATTTAATGTTTTTATACAATCATGTTTTTCTGTACTCATATCTTCGTGCTTAATGCAGTGTTTTTATGGTCTACGCATCAGTGAGTTTTAGCAGCCTGTGATGTTTGTAACCCAAATGCCATTGACCTTTTTGCGTGTTTTTTTGGGGGACAAAGCTGCTATGCATTTATTAGATGGCCGCCCTGGGATTTCCATACACTAGGTGACTAGGTAACCGGGTCACTATTATATTATCAATTTGCTTTTCCCGGTGTTTTGATGAAGGGGGCGTGCCCTGGAAACGCGTTAGCCGCAAACACTTTCAGCCAGTAGGCAGCATGACAGCCAGCGGATCGGTGTCTTCTGTGTAGATCTCGTGAATACGAGTTACACTTCCTACAATCTGATAGGAGATATTATATGTGCTTATTATTGCACTTTTGTGAGTGTTTTTCCTTATTCCACAATAAAACGATTCTGCTCATGTCGGGACGCTCTGTGGTTTTTGTTAGACCTATTTTTAATAGTATACTATAACTAATGCCATACCACATACCATATCATAAAGTCTGCATTGACTTTATATAAATATTGAAATGCAATAATCAAAAGCAAATTAAATCAAATACACACTTAAAACAAATTAAGACAGATGGGCAGGATAATACATGCTACAGAACAGTGAGTATGTGGGTTTTTTTTTTTTTTCTGGTTAGTTGAATACTGGATAACAGAGTTTACTGTGTATGTATGTAGATATATACATTTTTGAGAGGGGATTGCAGAGTTCCACTTTAGCATTATTTGTATATACTGTGATGATCTACTCTACATATTCCTTTTGTGTATTTTTAAACAACCCATGCTATTTTCTTTTCCCCTATTCAGTTGCCAATCATCATGGTGGTTGCTTTTTCAATGTGCATTATCTGCTTGCTCATGGCTGGTAAGTCAACACTTTTGATTACCGAATTGCTAAGATACACGTTTTATGTAATTTGTCTGTTCCTAAAAAGTACTACAAATAAACAATCTGCTTTTTTCAAGGTGACACCTGGACGGAGACTTTGGCCTATGTACTTTTCTGGGCAGTTGCCAGTATTGGGACAGCCACCATTATCCTTTACAATGGCAAAGACTTTGTTGATGCTCCAAAATTGGTGCAAAAAGAAAAGATGGATTGAATTATTGATTGTCAGAAGGACATTGGCAGTGATTGTTGCACAAGCCATAATTGGAGTCTTTACTGATCTGCTTTCAAACAAACATCATTGCTATTCTTACTTATATTGAACTTCATTTTAAACCATCGGATCTAAAACATAAGACCTTGAGAAGCATATAATGATCTGCTTTTCATTGACCAGGGTGTATATTTTCCATTGCTTTGCAACATATTGCAGAGTTTGTAACTATTACAGAGTTAAGACATGGACTTCAAAATATAGTAGTTAGGTAGTAAAAAAAATAATAATAATAATTTTGATCCACATGCCTTATGATTGTCACAAGTGTGTTTTAAATAAATAGTTTAAGATGATTTGCATGAGCAATAAAAACTGTTGATTTTTTTTTCCAAAGTGTGTAGGCAATTTTTATTTTTATTTCAAAGCCACTGTTGACAGTTTTGGAATAGAGTGGAAATATCTCAGATTTGTATTGCCTGTATCCCCATTTAAGCCACAGGGACATGAAGTCGTTTTTGTCCCTACTGTTGTAATAAGATTGTCCTGCCGCAGCTCACAGCGCTCTCGTCCTGACTCCTGCAGCGCTCGGCGGCTGTCACTTTCTTTTCTCCCCGCTGGAACAGCTCCCAGCGGGGAGAAAAGAAACCAGGGATGACCCGATGTATATATATATATCGGCCGAAAAGTGCCATTTTCGGCCGATATATCGGTGCATCCCTAATTTATATTTATAAAAACAAAATCGTACATTAAAACAGAGATGTACAAATCCCAGGAGCTCCGTATGCTCCTTACAAATGACAGCTACCTCCTAACTTTTACATTTTTCTCTAGTGTAGTCTTGGAGCTCAAAAGTATCGGTACAAGTACTCGTACTTGTACCGAGTACTGTACTTGGTATCTGTGCAACCCTACCGAATATGATGTAAAATATTTGCAAATGTTCACTGCCAGGTAATTCAAAACACCCAACATGCATGTCAACAATATTAACCTTTCAAAATATAGTTGTGCCATATTATTTTCACTAACATGTGGGTTTACTGATTGGCTAATGACAGTCTCATCTTATTGTTTAAAGAGAACTATTGGGTACACCTTTTTTGCATTTTTAATTTCCTAATGATATAAGAGTACATTTTGCAATGTTACATTTTGTAATCTAAATGCACCATAAGCTTAAAATTCAATGTAATATACTGTGAGGCGGGCTAAGCTCTGTGCTGAGAAGTGATCGCAACATTCCTCTCCCATTGAGTGACAGCAGCTTGCAGGCACAGCAGCTCGGACCTTATCCTATCGAAGTTTTGTCATGTCATGTCAAAGGTCTATGAACACTTGCACATCCATCCTGCAGTTTGTCTTTCATTCCCCTCTCCTCTCCACACTACTGTCTCCAGGCAACACATCGGCACTAGCACAGTCAGTTCAGCTCTGTCCTCAGCCCCTTTACTCCACACTGTTGTCTTGGGACATACACAAGGAGAAGAAGAGATGATGACGGAGGGGAGGGGGGCAAGGACAAAGCTGAACTGACTGTGCTAGTGCCTATGTGTTATGCGTGTTGTTTGGGGACAGCAGTGCGGAGAGGAGGGGGTCGAGGACGGAGCTCTCTTGCTTTTGGACATACCATGGTATAGTGCCTTTTTTACTCGCCATGAAATCCCTTCCTCTGATGTTAATTGATGGACTCCTTCCCTCACTTGGGTTGGCCTGTTGCAATGGTTGCTCATTTTGTTTTCTACCCTTCTACTGCTTGCTACAATTGACAATAGGGCAAGCCCTATTTTTTGCGTTTGCAGTGGAACAGAACGCTGGCAAAGTTTTCAGGCGTCCGATCACACAGTGGGCGGGGGGACGTGCAAGCGGTGCCATTGAATACAATGCACCGCCACGCCCCAAAACGCAAGGAAGTTTCTCAGCGATCGCAGGTACGTTCCAGCAGCTACCGCTCATGAATGCACGCTTGTTCACACCAAGCGCGTTCCAGGAGCAGAGCAGTTACAGACCGGATCAAAACTGCGTCCAATGCATTTCAATGGTATTTTGGGCTCTAGTTCACACTGCAGCGTTCAGTTCCAGAGCATGTTAAAAAAAACCTGCAGCAAGCCCTATTTTACCTGCTCTGGAACGCATGCAAATGCATCAAAAACACATGCAAACGCACTGAAAGCCCATTCTAAACTAAAAAATATATATTATTTTTTTTTAACCAAAAATGGTCCGGAACGCATCAAAAACGTGGCACAACCCACTGCACTGCGTGTGCAGAAACTCATGCAGATCTGGTCTGCATTTGGTGTGAACAAGCCCTTATTCAGTCATGCAATGCTATACTGAAATTAATTTTATACTATTTCTTTATTCACCACTGGGGGGTTTTATTTTTTACTATATTATTGAAAAATTACTGAAAATAGTTTTTAAAAAAAGTTTTTTTTTTTACATCGTTATAATACAATTATTGTTGTAACAAAGATCTACGCTCTTGGAAGACTGCTAAAATTATTTACAAATATGAATGGCCCTTAAGCTGCTATGAGAAAAAGAAACGGTGATTTAAAAATGTTAACACAGCGCTAAAGGTGCTTAGATAAATTGAATACCAATGTTAAATAAAAACAATATTGCAGCTCAATCCCATAAAGTGAATCATAACAGTGAAAAATATAATAATTAATTAGGCAAAAACCATGCCATTCACAGTGAAAAAAAGGTGATACAATAGTGGTGAAGAAATAAACCACTCCGGAGTCTGCAAGGAGACCTATTCAATGTGATTTACCATTAAAGGCAAAAAGCTACTTATGTGATACAATGTGACAAGATATCAGTGAATGAAAAAACAGTACATTCTAGCAATCCAGGTAGTAAAATGATAGCACAAACTATTCAATTGAGAAAACAGTGTAACAAGTGTTCCAGTGAAAGAAAAATTCATCTCAAACTGGTTTCTGTAGAATATACTGAAAAACACAATTTTGCTTGCTCAGACATTAACTATGCATAACCCAGAAACAAGCCAATGAAATTAATCACTTTCAATCCCTCCTTTTATCCCAATGGGATAACGGTATGAAATATTTCCTTTATATTTAGGTGGGAGGAGCATTGCTCCTGCTTCCTGGGTCATTTTGTAGATCTCATTCATGGCCATATAGGATGTGGGTGGGACCTCACTTTGGTAGGCCTTTATAACTAGATGGAGATCTGCCATACACCGCGGAATATTTGCCTTCGGGACATCCTGCAATGGGGTCAACAGTGACATGCAGAGTGTGCGGGTGGGAGATTCACTTTCCACACTCCTCTGCATGAACACATTCACAGCATCCATCAACTCCACATTCTGAGCCCGTAGGCCACTAGGGGGCAGCAGAAACTCTTCTTCCCCTAGGCGCCGGTGTTGTCCTTCATACAGCTTGGGAGGGAAGAGGCATTGGACTTTAGGAGGAGGAACTTCCCTCCAATGGACTATACCCCTCAGGCATCTCGCCAATTGGACTGGTCTCCACTTCCAGACCATCAGCCTCCTCTCTTTCTTGCAGCATAGGTTTCTCAAGGCTACACTGGGTTCTAAAAACAAAAAAAATTTACGGTCATCATTCATAGAAAAACAGTGAACAGTGTACATCACCATAAGAAGGCCATCTTACAGACGGTTACAGACAGTCTAACGGTTATCATTCATAGAAAAAGTAAGCAGTGTACATCACCATAAGAAAGCCATCTTACAGACGCAGCTCCAAGATCGGTTTCAAAAAGTAGAGGAGATGGTAATGAGTATATATTGCCCTCCTTCTAGTCCCCGACCCACTTCTTTCCTCCTTTTTTTGTAATTTTAGTTCCTTACGAAAGCAATATTTCATACTGCGCCACTTAACTATGCACAATAAAACTGAAAATATAAAATATTAACATTCGTTATCTTTTTATTCCTTACAGATTTCGAAAATCAAAATTTATTTTCCTATATTGTTCAATCAACATGCAAAGCAATTTGGCGTAACCTGCACAGCGTAGTGATTCCAGCTACCAAGGAAGAAAGTTGGAAAAAAATTGCTGGATTATTTTGGGAAAGATGTAATTTTCCTAACTGTTTAGGGGCTATCGATGGGAAGCACATCCGCATCACAATGCCCCCATTTTCTGGAAGCAAATATTTTAATTACAAAAAGTATTTCTCATTAGTCCTGCTGGCAGTGGCGGATGTGGACTATCGCTTCACTTATGTGGACGTAGGGTCATATGTTAGCAGCAGCGATTCGGCAATTTTTAATAATTCCACATTGGTTCGTCTACTACAGACCAATGGACTCAATCTGCCTAGGGATAGCCCATGGTGGGGAACTACAGACCCAGTCTACCCTTATGTGTTTATAGGTGATGAAGCATTTGGGATAGTCAGACATTTACTTCGTCCCTACTCGCAACGTAGACTTGACCCTAAAAAGCGCATTGTCATCTATAGGCTGTCACGTGCATGCAGAATGGTGGAGTGCACATTTGGTATACTGGCTAATAAATGACGTGTACTGCACACAGCCATGCAACTGACCCCTGAAAATGACACCACTGTCATTAGGCAACTTGTATTTTACACAATTATGCCAGAGAGAAACATGGCTTAAATTTAGAGGACACCTTCCCTAGAGCAGGCTGAATGGAGATTTGGTAAAGGGACCAGTGATGCACATAACATGAGAGATGAAATTACTCCTGCTGTTGAGGTTTCCTGGCAGGCAAGGGCAGCCCAGCATTACTGACATGGTTGCTAAAACTAGAATGTGGTGGGTTTCTTTCTGCTCAATTGTCCTTTATTTCTCTTCTGTGTTAGCTAATAAAAAAATATATACAGTATGTAAGTAGTGTAAAATGTTATAACATACTTGTTATTATCCATGTTGAATTTATAATATTCTTGAGCAATGCATGCTATTTGTATTGTATCTTTTTTTTTTGCCAGTCCACTCAGCTCGCTGTGTCTGCAGAGTCCTCCCAGACTTTAGTAAACTTGCTAGGGCATCCCCTGCTCTGATATGTAGCCTTGTAGAGGCTTAGGTATGAATTCACTAGGCCCTTCCAGTCCGAGATAGTTGGGGGTGTACTCTGTCTCCACCGCACTATCACCACCTTCCTGGCGCAATACAACAAAATTCCCATGAAGGTCTGTCTCGCTGTGATTGGTGCTCTGTTAGCCCCAAAATACATGTAGGCACATCAGGATTAAAGGGCACATCAACAAATTGTGACATAAAATGGGTGACTTCGAGCCAGAATGGTCTGACTCGTGGGCGGGCCCACAAAATGTGGATAAGACCTGCCGGCGAGTCAGAGCACCTCCAACATTCAAAGCTGCTGCCCCCATAGATGCGGGCTAGTCTCGCCGGAGT